CCCCCCCCCCATGTCCCCTTACTGTACGAAGTCTGTCCCAGAAGTAAGTTCCCCTGATTTGTAAATCCAATAATTTTTATTTTAGAGAATTGCACTTAGTGGGTGGTTAGCGGGTGCTCTGGTGTGGTTTGCTTCTTCTCTCCTATCAAACATCTATCGTCCTTATCTCTCCTTCTTTTTTGTTTTTTGTTACTCTTCTCTTGTAACACCTCTAATCTTCGGCACTTATATGACCCCATTGTGTTGCAAGTACCGTAAAACACTTACTTTAAAAAGACATGCATTTTTGTATGTAGCTATAGCAGCATGTTTATTAAAAAAAATTAAAAAACACAACTATTGATCTCAATGCAGTTTCCAATCCAACGTAGCGAGCGGTCAAACTCAGTGACCACGTCCGCTTCGGCCAATGACCTCAGTGCAGCAATTGTTCCGAGCAGCATAACGTTTTCTTTTTTTCCCCCCGGTGTGCTCACTCAACCATCTGTTGTAATAATGACTTTTGTTATGATTTCTTCCTTTACTTCAAATCGCCCCCCCCCCCTGTTTGTTATTTGATTTTGGGGGAAGAAATGAAATTTGGTTGGAACGAAGGGACATGTTACCCTCCGGGGCGGTGCTGCTGACTGATGTGTCTTTAAGCCATTCCCAAAGGGGAAAATTAAAATGGTATGGGCATGTCACAAGATCCACAGAACTTGCCAAAACAGTCCTTCAAGGAACCGTACAAGAAAAGAGAAAGAGAGGAAGGCAGAGAAGGAGATGGGAGGACAACATCGCAGAGTGGACAGGGAAGACGATGGGTGACAATCTGAGGAAAGCAGAGTACAAAGAGAAATGGCGAGGGCTGGTTTTCAGATGCAGTAGTGCCCCCACAGTTGCCCCAACCACGGGATAGAAGAAGAAGAAGAAAGGGGGGATATTAATATGTCCTTATACTCTGTAGAATTATAAATGGGCTGATTTATCAATGTCATGCTCATAACTGTGCCTGAACTACAACAGGGAGCTGCTGCTTTTTCTTTCCTAATCCTTACTATCGCCGTTTTGCCTCTACTTCTTTTGAATGTTTGTCACTCTTTTGTGACCTGCTATTTCCGGGGTGCCTTGATAGTGGAAGCAGACTTTGTTCTGTTGAAGCTAGAGAGGTGAGCAGAGTAAACATGATTGCCTGTATGGACTTGTCTGTTGACATCCACCCCTTGGCGCCCATATGACCTTATGCAATTGCGAGCGCCGTAAAAGCTCTACTAAAACTAAAGAAGGGACATAAAAAAAGAGTCATAACAGTTGATGAAACATGAGTGTGTCTGTGGGAACCAGAACCGAAAAGACAATCGGCAGAATGGAGAAACCCCAGGGTCACGACTCCAGAAATCTTGGTGCAAGCAAAGTGTTTTGGAAGTGATGCACATGCTGTTTTTTGATAACAGAAAAAAAATTGTGGTTTTGAACTGGCCGGTTCCTGTTGGCACACCAGTCGTTGCTGACTATTTCAAGATGGTAAAAAAAAAAAGCTGAGACGTGGGTCGTTGGCGGGTGCTCTGGTGTGGTTTGCTTCTTCTTTTCTGTCAAACACATATCGTCCTTAGCTCCCCTCCTTTTTATGTTTGTTAGTCTCTTGTAACACCTCTAATCGTTTGACGCGCATACTGTCCCCGTCGTTTTATGCAAGAACAATTCTGAAATTATGCAAACTGAGCCCAAAAATGTGAAATTATGCCATTCTGTTTATTTTAAAAAACGATGATAAAGGAAAATAATCAGAAATTATGCTGAAGAAAACCCCAGATCAAATTTTGCTAAATTACGCGGGGTGCATAAAACCAGGGGGACAGCTCATAGATATGACCTTATTGTGTTGCAAGTGCCGTAAAACACTTACGAAACCAAAAGCTGAGACCAGCAAACATATTAGAAAGTGGCCGGGTCTGCTTGAGCACTGCGTTGTCTTCCTGCCTGACAACTCACTCTTGACACTGCTTGAAAGGTCACCGGTCTCCTGGACTCCTGAGAATGGAACATTCTTTTCGTTTAAGTTTTAGTAGAGGTTTTACGGCTCTCGCAACTGCATAAGGTCATCTGAGCGCCAGAAGATTAGAAGTGTTACAAGAGAGTAACAAACATAAAAGAGAAGAAGGGGAGATAAGGACAATGGAAAGTTCTTGAACACCCCCGCTATTCCCCAGACTCGGCACTCACCTTGAGACTTTCTTTTGCTCCCCAATATCAAAGAACGGGGAAAGGGGGGGGGGAGTGATTCGAAGACGGGGAGAAATTGGTCGCATTTAAGAACAAGCGGGCTAACTCAGATTTCGGGGGATTCCAGAAATCTTCACCAACATCAAAAGTGGGCATTGCCCTACCTATAAGAGAAGTTTAGTTTCATTGGTGTGCATATTTGTTTGGTTATAGAGAAAACCCTCCCTGTCTTTTAAAGAAACTGAACATGGGGCAAAGACTTTACCTTCGATTTTCTCAAAACAGCATTTTTCGGGATAGCCCCCTTATTGTTCTTAAAAGCTACCACATAATATACACGTTTATGTCAGTGTGTGTGTGTGTTTGTGGTGTGTGTGTGTTTTTGTCTGTACGTGTGTGTGTATGTGTGTGCATGTGTGTGTATGTATGCATGTGTGGGTGTGTGCATGCAGTCGTTCATGTGTGAACGTGCATACCCTATACACCCTTACGTATTGTATGGTATACCTCTATATACCCTTACGTATTGTATGTTATTGTCTTCATTTGACTAATTTTGTTCACCCTTTCTCTCCTCCTCCCCCCCCCCCACCCCCAGACATATTCTGTGACGTGACCAGCATGAGGACAATGCGCTGGAACTACCGTCGTGTGGCGCTGCTGTCAGCGCTGTTGCTCTCTGTCCTCTACGTCCTCTCCCAGCTCTCGTGGTCCCACCGTGGTAGACAGACAGACCCCATGGGCGGCCCGGACCGTGAGTCATCTACATACCTCTTGTCCCAAACATTTGTGTGTGTGCTTAAAGAAAGGCACAAAAAGTCGCCACAGAGAATTTTGAGCTACAGACTGATAATGACCCCCCAAAAATCACCTTTTTGACCGAAATGTGTTTCCATTAAAAAAAATGATAGTTCCACCGTTTTTTAACAATGTGTTAAAAGGGTTTTCATTTATTTTCATTTCTAAATATTTTATTTAAAATAATTTAGAGACTGAATTAATTGTTTAAAGATATAACGAAAACTGCTTTTAGAAGGTGTTAATATCTATTCTTGAAGCATGTTTTCTCTTTCCCGCTATGTTTTACCATTGAATTCGAATCATGATATTGATGTCAACTGAATGCCAAATTGGAAATGAATTTTCCATGAAAAAAATACTTTAGAAACAATTGAATCATTGTTTTAAAAAAAAAAGTTTGTAAGTGTCCTAAACTTAAAAGCTAATCTTCTCAAAATTAGATCTTTATACCCTACCTCACAAAGTGTGCAGTATCTCAAAAAGTACTTGAGATATCTAGACATTTCAAAGACCACTGTGTTCAGCATTGAATTTCACAAAATGGTCAAAATCCGACTTTTTGTACCTTTCTTTAGGCACACCGCCCTTTATCAAATAGAAGTGTGTCCGGTTGGTGGGTGCTCTGGTGTAGTTTGTTCTTTCTTACCTATCAATTAATGGTCGCTTTTTAGTAAGGACACGCGGGCTAACCCAGATTTCGGGGGTTTCGAGAAATAATGACCTACACCAAAAGTGGACATTGCCCTACCTGTAGGAGAAGTTTGGTTTCATTGGTGTTTGTTTGGTTATAGAGAAAAACTCTCCTTGTCTTTTAAAGAAACTGAACAAGGGACAAAAACTTTACCTTCGATTTTCTCAAAACAGCATTTTTCGAGATAGCCCCATTGTGCTTAAAAGCGACCAAATATCTGTTTTCCTTTTTTTGAAGTAAGACGGGTGGTTGGAGGACGCCACTGGTAGGTCCTACTTTTTTGTCTTCCTCTGTCGTTTCTGTCTGTCTGTTTTACTTTTTCCCAAAACTAAATGACCATTATTATGTCGATGTGTTTTTTTTGGTTTTTTTTGGTAAGTGGTTTATACGGCGCTGGCTACTGCATAAGGTCGTATGAGCCTGCGGGACACAATTAACATTTTTAGTCTGTAGGAAATTTTGAATTTTGCCCGGGTGGCGGCCGAAGCCTACTCTTATCGATTTTAGACCTCCAGGGCATCCTTAATGTGCGTAACTTACACATGGGACCTCCGAGATTTTTCGCCCTTGCCCAAGAAGGCTAGGTGTAAAACTTTCGTACCAGAAAATCAGAGGTGTGGCTGAAAGACAGCATTAAGAAAGAGCCAATAAGTAATAGTAGAAAGGCTGCAGAAAGAGTCAGGAGCCCAGAGGAAGAAGCAAAGGAGGTGAGGGTGGGGGCAGAAAGTGGAAATGAAAGCAGACGACAGAACATTGCTAGAGAGCAGGAAAGGAGGTGAAAGGAGACAATTTCAGAGAAAATTTTTTTCGGTCTCTACCCGGTTTCGAACCCGGGACCTTTGAATGAGAGGCGAGCACCTTAACCTCTAGGATACGAGAGCCCCCTATGTGTCGATGTGCTTGTCTTTTCTACTTGTAATGCTGTCTACTGTATTGGCACGTGCAAACATGGCATGACTGTGGTGTCGCTTCAAACACCGCGAACTTTGCCAATTCAGAATAACGACCCCAATTAAGCCTACAAATTACCTTGCCAGAATAATTTCTGTTTACAATGGCAAAGGGTTTTTAAAAATATTTTTGAAAAATTAAAGTCGTCGAAGCTTATTTTTTTAAACAATGTCCACTGTTTTGGCCCAATGGGGAAATGTGTGTGTGTGTGTGTGTGTGTGTGTGTGTGTGTGTGTGTGTGTGTGTGTGTGTGTGTGTGTGTGGGTGGGTGGGAGGGGGGGGGGTAATTTATACCCATGCCTGTAACAAGACTCCGAAACGCCGACACTTGGCAGACACAGTTCAAAAATAATAATAGTTATTATATTATTATTTATTATAATCCTGTCTGTTTGAAACTAAGGCCATGGGTGGTTGCAGGGTACTCTGGTGTGGTTTTCTCCTTCTTTCCTGTCAAACATCTGTCGTCCTTATCTCCCCTCCTTCTTTTTTAAATTTTTCTTACTTCCTTGTAACATCTCTAATCTTTGGCACTCAATTTGACGTTATTTTTTTGCAAGTGCCGTAAAACCTCTTCTGAAACTAAAACTCCCTTCCTTCTTTTTAATGTTTGTTACTTCCTTGTTACATCTCTAATCTTTGGCTCTTAATTTGACCGTATTGGGTTGCAAGTACCGTAAAACTCTTATTAAATCTAATCTGAAACTGAGGCCTTTCCTGCAACCTATGACGAGTCTCCACGTGGTGAGGAAAAGATTGTAAAGTGGTGTACGTGGGTGGTTGGCGGGTGCTCTGGTGTGGTCTGCTTCTTCTGTCCTATCAAACATCTGTCGTCTTTACCTCCCGTTCTTCTTTTTTATGTTTCTTTCTCTCTTGTAACACCTCTAATCTTCTTGCGCTTATACGACCTTATGCAGTTGCGAGTGCCGTAAAACGTCTACTAAAACAATCTCTAATCTTTGGCACTTAATTTGACCGTATTGTGTTGCAAGTGCCGTAAAACTCTTAATCTTACCAAATCTATTCTGAAACTAAGGCCATCCCTGCAACCTATGACGAGTTTCCGCGTGGTATGGTAAAAGGTAGTAAAGTGATGTACAAGCTGACACATTGATTCGTCGAACTCCCGCACACACAGCCGACCATCAACAGTCACAGTATGTTGTATATTATATATCAGTATAAAATAATAATAATAATAATAATAAGTAAACGGTGAGGGAAACACATTGATTATTTGATTTGCGTGAAGAAACCCGAGTCGCCCTTTGTTTCAGTAACGACCAGTATTTCTGTCGATTAGCCTTTTAAATGAGGGGGCATTCTGCGGTCTTTGCGTCTTCCGGCACCTTTCTTCTCCTTTCTCGGGCTAATGCTGTATGAGATATCGTCTTTACAGCTGTGAGGAATAGTATTTTATGGCCAGCTGTTTCGTTAGTAATCCTTTTCAGATCAACAGTGTCACGAGCGAAGGAATGCGTTGGGAATAGATTGTAATCTCCTTTATGTAACACCCTTTGAAGGTTTCATTTCTCTTTTGTGAAGCAGCCTTTGAAGATGGGAGAGAGAGATAATGTAGGACTGGAAGTGATATTACATTGAAAACTTAAGCTGAATTATGGGACGTGTATGTTTATTTTGTGTGGTTTTATTGCTGTACTAGATACTAGTCAATGATGTGGGTGGTTGGCGGGTGCTCTGGTGTGGTTTGCTTCTTTTTTCCTATCAAACGTCTATCGTCTTTACCTCTCCTCCTTCTTTTTTGTGTTTGTTACTCTCTTGTAATACCTCTAATCTTCGGCATTTATATGACCTTATGCAGTTGCGAGCGCCGTAAAACCTCTACTAACACTAAAACTAAAAGCAAGTGCCGTAAACACTTACTAAAAAAACTAGCCAATGGTGTTCAAGGTGGGAATCGTACATCTTGCGAGTAAAAGAGAAGACAAATGTCAAGCGTGCTGACAAAATGAGTTACTTCCAGGATTCGAGACCTGTGGGAAATAAATACATCATACATATAGGTGACGTTTAAACTATATATATAAGTTTGAAATATTTAAGGGCATGTTATACTTAAAGAATATGACGTCAATAGAAAATCTACAATTTTGATCCTTGTGTCTATTTTTGGCCAAGAGCTCCATTTGTGGATTGGGAGGTGAGAAGTAACTCATTTTGTCAGCACACCTCACAAATATTGTAGGAGGGGAGGTGTGTGTGTGTGTGTGTGTGTGTGTGTGTGTGTGTGTGTGTGTGTGTGTGTGTGTGTGTGTGTGTGTGTGGGGTGGGTTGGGGGGGGGGGCAGAGGTGGGGTGGAGTTCGGGGCACAAAAGTAGGCGCCTGTCTTGTTGCTCACGGGAACATAATTAATGGCCACTATTATATATAGTGACATGTGTTATGTTAAGATCATAAATGGGGTCGTATTTCTCGCTTATGTGTTGGTGTTCTGTATAGATTATTTAATCACTTTTAAGGACAAGCTGGCTAACCCAGATTTCGGGGGTTTCCAGAAATCTTGACCTACACCAAAAGAGGGCATTGCCCTACCTAAAGGAGATGTTTGGTTTCATTAGTGTGTATATTTGTTTGGTTAAGGAGAAAACTCTCATTATTTTTTTAAAGAAACTGAACAATACAAGGGGCAAAATCTTTACCTTCGATTTTCTCCAAACAGCATTTTCCGGGATAGCCCATTTGTGCTTAAAAGTGACCAACTGGGGTCGTATTTCTCGCTTGTGTGTTGCTGTTCTGTGTAGATTATTTATCTCCCTTCCCTTTAAAGCTAAAGCGGTGGGTGGTGGTGAGGGCAGAGCATTTTTAGGCTAGTTGCAGGATCTCATCTCTCGACACGTATCCAGCAAAAGAATGTAACCCTGGTAATATTTTCTATAATTTCTTGACTTAACTAATGTCTGGGGTTCAGTCCCTCTCGGAGGGTGGTTGGCGGGTGCTCTGGTGTGGTTTGCTCTTTCTTTCCTATCGAACATCTATCGTCCTTATCTCTCCTCCTTCTTTTTTTTGTATGTTACTTTCCTGTAACACATCTATTCTTCGGCACTTATATAATGACCTTATTGTGTTCCAAGGGCCGTAAAACCCTTACGAAAAAACAACAACAAAAGAACATCTATTCTTCGGCACTTATATAATGACCTTATTGTGTTGCAACTACCGTAAACTCTTACGAAAGCGAAAAACCATGACGTGTTTCTCTCTCTCTTACACACACCGTCCCCGCAGAAAAACAGAGGCTGACCCAGTATGACCTTGACAGTATCGCGGCGACCCTGAAGGTCAACTACAAGGTCGTCACCAACAGCCCCAGTCCCCACAGCCCACCCTTCACGGTGGCACAGCTCACTCTGACCAATGCTGGGGAAGTCCGCCTGCCTTCCTTTGGCTGGAAGATCATGTTCAATTCGGTAAACTTTCTGTACTTTTGGAATGTTAACATTACTTGTAGTTTGTGTTCTATTTGGTAAACTTTCTGTACTTTTGGGATGGTAACATTACTTGTAGTTTATGTTCTTTTTGGTTAACTTTCTGTACTTTTGGGATAGTAACATTACTTGTAGTTTATGTTCTATTTGGTAAACTTTCTGTAGGCTACTTTTGGGATGTTAACATTACTGGTAGATCATGTACTTTTGGGATGTTAACATTACTGGTAGATCATGTACTTTTGGGATGTTAACATTACTGGTAGATCATGTACTTTTGGAATGTTAACATTACTGGTAGATCATGTACTTTTGGAATGTTAACATACTGGCATATCATGTTCAATTCGGTAAACTTACTGTACTTTTGGAGTGTTAGCGTACTGGTAGTTTATGTACTTTTGGGATGTTAACATTACTGGTAGTTTATGTACTTTTGGGATGTTAACATTACTTTTAGTTTATGTTCAGTTCGGAAAACTTTCCGTACTTTTGGGATGTTAACAAACTGGCAGTATATGTTCAGTTTGGTAAATCAACTGTAGTTTTAGGATTTTGGTATGTTAAATTACTGATAGCTTATGTCCAATATGGTAAATCTACTGTACTTTTTGGGGTGCTAGCGTACTGGTAATTTAAATTCAATTCGGTAAACTTACTGTACCTTTGGGATGCTAACGTACAAGTAGTTTGTTCAATAAAATAAACTTACTGTGATTTTGCGAAGTTAATGTACTGGTAGTTTACGTTCAATTTGGTAAACTGACTGAACTTTTGGGATGATAACATACTAGTAAATTATGTCCAATTCGGTAAACTGACCATACTTTTGGGGTGCTAGCATACTGGCAGATCTTGTTCAATTCGGTATACTGACCATACTTTTGGGGTGCTAGCATACTGGCAGATCTTGTTCAATTCGGTAAACTGACCATACTTTTGGGGTGCTAGCATACTGGCAGATCTTGTTCAATTCGGTAAACTGACCATACTTTTGGGGTGCTAGCATACTGGCAGATCTTGTTCAATTCGGTAAACTGACCATACTTTTGGGGTGCTAGCATACTGGCAGATCTTGTTCAATTCGGTAAACTTACCATACTTTTGAGGTGCTAGCATACTGGCAGATCTTGTTCAATTCGGTAAACTGACCATACTTTTGGGGTGCTAGCATACTGGCAGATCTTGTTCAATTCGGTAAACTTACCATACTTTTGAGGTGCTAGCATACTGGCAGATCTTGTTCAATTCGGTAAACTGACCATACTTTTGGGGTGCTAGTATACTGGCAGATCTTGTTCAATTCGGTAAACTTACCATACTTTTGGGGTGCTAGCATACTGGCAGATCTTGTTCAATTCGGTAAACTTACCATACTTTTGGGGTGCTAGCATACTGGCAGATCTTGTTCAATTCGGTAAACTTATTATGCTTTTGGGATTTTAACATACTGATAGTTTCATTTGGTAAACTATCGGTAGTTTTGGGATATTTACGTACTGGTAGTTTAGGAGATGGGAGGTCAGCATTACAGAGTGGACAGGGAAGACGATGGGTGACAATCTGAGGAAAGCAGAGGACAAAGAGAAATGGCGAGAGCTGGTTGTCAGATGCAGTGGTTCCCCCACGGTTGCCCCAACCACGGGATAGAAGAAGAAGAAGTTTTTGTTCAATTTGGTTAAATTACTGCTGCTTTAGGTTGTAAACTCACTCAACCCTTGGCTGCACACTTCCTGGTTGTCAGTTCTCCATTGATGTTTTTACCACTTTTTGAAAAATTGAAAAAGGTACTTCTTGATTTTAATATATCCCACCCAAATTGGGTACACATTTTTATTCAAACCCTTATTTCTGTGTATTGAAAAATTGAAGGCAAAATATGTCATAGTTTTTATGCAATACTTAGTGGAAAAAGGTCCATATGCAGAGTCAAAAAAGTAAACAAAAAGCGAAGAAAGGAAGCGCGTTCAAATTTCGCACCCCCTCACATGGTTCACGAATATAGCTTTCTTTGTTTGTTCTAAATTTGGGCATCCACTTCTGGTCATAGTCTGTTTCAAACGAAAAATGGTCACTCTTCCAAATTAGGCTATAGTCTGCTTCACACGAAAGTAGTGTTTTCGGTCACGAGAGCCAAGTTTTCCATACTGATACTGTCGGCTTTAGGACTGGGTCAGATAATGCACTTAACTTGTACAAACAAACAAACAAACAAAAATTCTCAGTGGGTGGTTGGTGGGTGCTCTGGTGTGGTTCGCTTCTTATTCTTCCTACCAAACGTCTATCATCTTTATCTCACCTCCTTCTTTTTTGTGTTTGTCACTCTTTTGTATATATATGACCTTATTGTGTTGCAAGTGCCGTAAAACCTTTACTGAAATAGACAAAACGTCTATCGTCTTTATCTCCCCTCCTTTTTTTGTGTTTGTTACTCTGTTGTAACACCTCTAATCTTCGGCACTTATATATATGACTTTATTGTGTCGCAAATGCCGTAAAACACTTACATACTAAAACTAAAAAATCCTTTCTCAGGTTCACCAGATCTTTGTGGAGTCTATGATCTCGCAGAAATCGATCCAGATCAACTACGGGCTGGAGATCAGTCACATAAACGGAGAACTGTACAGCCTGACTCCCACAGACGCCTTCGGAGACGCTCTGATGCCTGGCGAGGCGCGTGTGCTGAAGCTTCACCTCAAGTGTTGCAGCATCGTGGTCACGGACAGCATCCCAAACTGGTGGGTGGCATTTGTTTTGTTTTGTTTTGCGCTTTTTTTTTTGGTAAGTGTTTTACGGCGCTCGCAACTGCGTAAGGTGATATGAGCGCGTGGGACACATTAAATAACTGAAAATATTAATTGCGTCCCGTGCACTCATATGACCTTATGCAGCTGCAAGCGCCGTAAAACACTTACAAAAACAAACCAAAAACATCTATCGTCTTTATCTCCCTTCCTTCTTTTTTGTGTTTGTTACTCTCTTGTGACATCTCTAACCTTCGGCACTTGTAAAACAAGCTTTACTAAAACTGCTCTTACTGCATCCCCCTCGTTATTAGACTATTACTTTTTAAAATAACTGTTTATGTGCTGGATTTCCTTTTCCTCTCCTAGGTACATGACCGTTCCCGGGCTCCAGCCTCGACTTATCAAAAGCACCACCGGAGAATCGTTTAGTTTTGTGGAAGATCGAGACACCCCAGAGACGTGGAAGCGGGACGCGGACCCCAACAGTGTACAGTTCGACTACTTTGACCCGTTCACAGCCGAGACCAGATACAAGACAAAAGGCGTGGCCGACCTCGGCTCAGCTCCTATTCCTGTGATACCCACGTGAGTGAAAGGAGATGTGGCAGTGGGTGGTTGGCAGGTGCTCTGGTGTGGTTTGCTACTTCTTTCCTATCAAACATCTATCGTCTTTATCTCCCTTCCTTCTTTTTTTGTGTTTGTTACCCACTTGTAACACCCCTAATCTTCGGCACTTGTATGACCGTATTGTGTTGCAAGTGCCGTAAAACACTTGCTAAAACAAAACAAGGAGATGTGGCTACTTGAACATACTCTCTCTCTCTTGCCCTTTTTAACTCTCAGTGGAGCATAGGCCATCAACAACATTTCTCCAGCTTCGAAGCCAGTGCTGTGCATCCTTTTCTAGCTGTTTCCATGATGTCCCGGCCTTTTCCATTTCCGCTTGTACCGCTCGCCTCCATGTCCTCTTTGGTCTTCCTCTTGAACATACACTGAGCTCTCTTGTTACTCTATACTTAACACTTTGCAGTCACTTGGCGCCATAATGCGACGCTCAAAATTCTCCTTCTGCGCCATGTCCCCTCGAGAAGTCCGTTGCAGTCACTCTCCTCACTGGATGACCAGATGGGGTATTTTGTATAATGTACTGCTGGCTGTGTGACTGCAAAGTGTTAACCCTTTCCCCCCCCTTCCCGAAATGACTTTGGCTTGGAGAGATAGCAACTAATACTTTACTGTTGGGTTCTTCTTCTTCTTCTTCTTCTTCTTCTTCTATCCCGTGGTTGGGGCAACCATGGGGGCACCACTGCATCTGAAAACCATCTCTCGCCATCTATTTTTGTCTTCTGCTTTCCTCAGATTGTCACCCATCATCTTTCCTGTCCACTCTGTAATGTTGTTCTCCCATCTCCTTCTCTGCCATCCTCTCTTTCTCTTTCCTTGCACGGTTCCTTGCATGGTTCCTTGCAGGATTGTTTTGGCAAGTCCTGTGGATCTTGTGACATGCCCATACCATTTTAATTTTCGTCTTTTCACTGTGGTCAGTAGATCTTCATACTGCCCCACTGTGTTGGTGATTCTCTTTTGTACCTCAGCATTTGAAACGTGGTCTTTGTACGAGATGTCAGGAGTCAACTGTTGGATTAAGGTGGGAAAAAAATCATAACAATTTTTTAAACCAATCCTTCATTTAACTATTTAACACTTGCCCCGGTGAAAATTATCCGTTCCGGTCACCTGACCAGGCCCAAGAAGTCTTTTGCAGTCACTCTCCTGGCTTGGTGACCACATGGGCTATTTTGTACTGCTGGCTGTCTTACTTACTTACTTACTTACTTGTCCACTGTGTTGGGGTCACTGCAGTCGGAACATGTCCATCTCTGCTCTCCCCACCTCTTCAGGATCCATCCCAGAGTCTGTCTGCTTATAATGTCCATCATAATCTGGTTGGAGATCCGTCGGACTGCAAAGTGTTAATCTCAATTTCTAATTTAGGAAAATATCTATGTGTTATTTATGCAACACCCCAAAGATAAAAAAAATACTCTTGTGAGGTGAACAAAACACATCTTGTAGTGTCACAACTATTTTAGTACTACTGGCAGACCACACTATTGATTGTGTTAAAATGCTTCCTCGAATTTTTGTTTTTTCTCTCAGCACTGTTTATGTCTGTATCAAAACACATTTCTGTCCCGGATTTTACTGAAAAGCGTTGATTAAAGGCACCAAAATTGCAGATGTTCAGATTCCAAGGACTCTGAAGCTTTGGAAGTCATCGAACTTTGAAGGTCATTTTTATCGATAATTTTACCTCCACTGAAACCAGGTGGCCCCCACCTCCTTCAATCGTGAATATCTCGACTTCTATTCTAGATAGATTGGTATTTTTTTTCTTCCAAAGCAAGGCAAATGAACAAACTTTAAGCTGATACCAATAACTCCACACGCCCAAAATTTGACGAGTGCCTGATTCCACCAAAGCCTGACACATTTCATTTCTTTGACGAGTGCCTGATTTCACCTCGATGCCTGACATTTAATAATTAATTCCATTGCTTGTATTTGTATGTCGATCAGGCCAGTAGAGGTGTCGTACGACAATTCCTCACGACTCAATGTCTTCAAGGGAAAGTGGAAACTGTCAGTGGACAAAGGGAAGGAACTGAAAACAGAGGCGTTATATCTCGGCGGTGAGAGAATATGTTGTCTCGTCTTCATGTGGCCATCACTTGATTTGGGAAAAAAAGAAGGGTGGATTTTTGCTCTGCTTTGCCGTATATATTTATACAAGCTGGGTATCCGGTTCGATGTACGGACACAAAAGAATCGATCGTCAAGTCATTGTGGGATCGGTGCACGTACTCTTTGTGAACAATGGCGTCTTAGAAGACGAACTTTCCCCAGATTAGATCTGAACGAAACTAATGAAAAACTGAAAATTAAACTACAGTGACTTCAGGCTCCTCAATAAAAATATGCACCCTTTAAATGATGCTGAACCACCATTAATTTGGTCAAATTCGAAAGTTAAGTGGTTCGGAAGTTTTAGGCGGCCAAAGTGACGAACTTTCATAAATATAATATATAGAGATCTTTTCCCCACTTCCTTTGGGAATTTACAATGGACAACATATTGAGGATGAAAACTAGCTGTAGTCTTTACTTTTTGTGTCCATTTCCAAAACTACAGGATTTTTCAGTGGTTGGCATTAATGTATAGAAAAAACTACCCATTGGGGAACGGAGTCTTGTGTCTTGGATTTAGATAATAATGTAATATGACATTTATATAGCGCATTTCCAAAAAAGATGAGTTAATACTTTCCCTACTGCGATGCGGCTCGCAGACCTGGCCTCGCTGGACCGAAAGCCGCAAAATACGGCTCGAGTGGCTCGCTATCTATTCCAATCCAGTAATGAAATTCTCGGCAGATCCAAGTTTTCAAAATAATATCTGTTAGCAAATACGAAAGAAAATATAGCACTGAGAGACGATTTTCAGTCATTTCAGCGCTTTTTTTGCCCCTTTCAAATGTAAAAATGAGAAGAAAAGCGCTCCCCTGACTTCAGTATAATATTATGTCTCATATTTTCACTTCTATATTAGGTACACATACATAACTTTCAGCATTTCTTTGCATTACATGAGGCTATCTATGTGGGAAGTTTAAATGATGCTGTTGTTGTACTGTTTTAGATATGACCTTTCAAAGCTGGAAAATTGTTGATTTCTTATGACACCTTCGATATTGCATAATCACTTTTGGAAACCCCAAACTAATATAATTGGAATAAGGCTTCAATATTGCATCACCATCTGATAGATTATTTTTTTACCTTCAGTTTGATGGGCCATAAGATATGGTTTGTGTGTGTTTAGCTGGATGTTTTGACAATTTTCTGTGGTGGGGTAGGGGTGTAAAAATAGGCCAGGGAAAAGCCCTGGGCCAAGACAAGATAAGATAAGATAAGATAAGATAAGACAAGATAAGATAAGATAAGATAAGATAAGATAAGATAAGATACATCTTTATTGTCCAGATCCTGGCACATTGGTTTGGTGTTCCACCACGAGTACACACACACACGCACACACACACACACACATACACACACACACACACACACACACACACACACACACACACACACACACACAAAAACACACACACGTACACACGTGCACGCACATGCACACACAAGTAGGCTTACAATCACATACATAATATAAATGAGCAGCAATATAAACAGTAATAATCGTAAGCTAGATACACACTCAATGTTATTTTGATGCATGCTCTAAGGTCGTAAGTACACTAAACAAGATGGTTAAGATGGAAGCATTTTGATAGATGATGGTAAAAATGACCTTCTGTATCTTTCTTTGTTACAGATCAGAAGCATGGGTCTTTTACTTCTGACTGATGTTTTTATTTGAGGGAACAAGGGATGTTTGTTGTCTAAAAAGATGGAATTAATTTTCTTTGTGCAAGCTGTTATGTACAATTCATCCAAGTACGGGAATGAAGATGTTGAAATTTTACATGCTTTCCGTATTAGTCGATTTAGTCGATGGCCAGTGGTGGATTTTGGCCTGGTAGGAAAAGAGTTAAGTAATGGTGTGAAACTATGGTATCCAGTAGTGGCTAAGTGAGTAGTGAGTTGAGACTCCCAAAGTAATGTCAGGCAAGTGTCAATGACAAGGGGTTTACGTGGGTGGTCACTCCTGGGATGTGTTCTAGAGCGAGACAGGACAACTTATGAAATTGTTTTGTTTTGGTAAAATATTGTGTATTTATGCATGTATATGTGTATGTATTTATGTATTTATGATTATGTATTTATAATGTTTGTATGTATCTGTGCTATTGTAAACAAAAGTGCCCTTCTGGGATCTGTAAAAATGTAATATATTTTATTATTATTATTTTATAACAAAAGTAACCTTTATTGTGTTTTGATATTTTTCTTCTCTGCGAAAGTAATTATGACCAATGTGTAATTGATACTATACAATAATCATGCAATAATCTACTACAAGTCTATGAGGAGTTATGACGTTAATATCAGCTGTGTCTTTAACTACTATGACGTTAATATCAGCTGTGTCTTTAACTACTATGACATTAATATCAGCTGTGTCTTTAACTACTATGACATTAATATCAGCTGTGTCTTTAACTACTATGACATTAATATCAGCTGTGTCTTTAACTACTATGACATTAATATCAGCTGTGTCTTTAACTACTATGACATTAATATCAGCTGTGTCTTTAACTACAATGACATTAATATCAGCTGTGTCTTTAACTACTCTAAAGTATCGAATAAGCCTACCCCCTGCTTATTGATTTTCATTTTTTTGTGCTCCCCCCACTCCTTATTCCATACCATCTATTTATTATTTTCCAGCTTGTCACGACCGACGATCATGTGAAACATTATATCTAGAATTTAGATATCTGAATGGAACTTCTCTTTTTGTAAATGGCAAATTACCTTCAGTATTAGTGCCGGTAGCGGGTTGGCTACCTCAATTTTCTGTACATTTAATAAACTTTTGTACATTGGTTTATATTTGTTAATGAAACTGGTTTGGTCCTAAATGGGAAAAGTTGTCACAGTAACTTACTAAAATCACTAAAATTTCATGATCTCTTGTTCTTTTATTCACTGAAGGAGAAATAAAACAGATTTGTTCCTACTAGTACAGGGGTATGAGGTTGAATGTGCCACCCCTCTCCTTTTTATTTGAAACCTTAGAGTAACAATCTCCAATTTCATGAATGAGTTCTAACAACTATTTCTTCATTTTTTCTCCATTATATCCTTTTCCCACTGAACAGAGATCTGGGGTCTCCCTGTGAGCTCGGAATCTTTGAGTGGCGAGGTGATTGAGTTTGTGAGGGAGCCGGTTGTGGTGCGTGTCCGGGACAAGGAGTTACCTCAAGCAGAATGTGAGTCTTGTCTCCGTGGAATGTTTTGTGTATGTGAGGGTGAGGTGTTCTGACATAATGAGTTACCTCTCGCAAGCAATCCAAGAATGGAAACATTGGCCACCCCCTCGGGGCAGTGCCACTGACTTAAGTGTCTTTAGGCCATTCTTAAGGGGGGGGGGGGGGGGGGGGGGGCATTTCTTGTTCTTATCCACAGTAGAATTGTAAATGGGCTGATTCAACAATACCATGCTCATAACTGTGCCTGAACTGCAACTGGGAACTGCTGCTTTTTCTTTCCCAGTCGATGCTCTACTTCTTTTGTATGTTTGTCACACTCTTGTGACCCGCTATTTCCGGGGTGCCTTGATAGTCGAAGCAGACTTTGTGTTGTTGAAGCTAGAGAGGTGAGCAGAGTAAGTCTGATTCCCTGTAAGGACTTCTCTGTTGACATCCACCCCTTCACGCTCATATGACCTTATGCAGTTGCGAGCGCCGTAAAAACCTCTACTAAAACAAACAAAAACGAAATGAGTTACCTCTCGCAATCCAACAATGGAAACATTGGCCGAAAATTGATGCTGAGGTCAGATTTATAGATTTTTAATTAATGCCGTTTTGTTCAAGTCTGCCGTGTCTTTTATTATTCCATACTTACAAATTGTACAAACTCCACATCCTATAACGTTGATGGATCAATTTCCATAAGGCTAAAATGCAAGAAGTAACTCATTTTGTCAGCACACCTCACATATATTCATTTCTGACTGTAGAACTCTTACTTTGTTCATTTATTGCAATAGTTTGTTATTGGGATATTAATAGTTTATTGAGGGAGACCACAGCAAATATAAACACATTAATGGCACTTGTATGACCGTATTGTGTTGCAAGTGCTCCAGAACTCTTACTAAAACTATTTTAAAAATTAATTAAAAGTGGATCCCCAGACTTCTTTTTAAAAATATTTTTTTTATTTTTTATATTTTTTTTATTTCTTAAATTTCAAAATTTCAATTTTTTTTTATCCCTTGCCCATTTATATGAGATTGACGCCATCTGATTAGTAGAAAAACGTGCGTATGATAGTGTTCAATTGTGTATTATGTCCATACTTAGTATAACAAGTAACTGTAATAGCAGATAGAGTTTCCAGGATTATAGATGTAAGTCATTGATCTGAGAGGGCTGTTGATTTGAAATATAATGGTGGTGATAAGTGATGATGTGGGATTGCGTTTAAGTAATAATTATAATAATAGATAATAGATAGCATTTGTATAGTGCATATCCCCGCTCAACAGCAGGCTCTATGCGCTTTACACTATATTATTACCCCAGCACACCATAGAACACTCCGAAACATTCTCAGCTTCCCGGGAAGCATACAGTGCGAGCAGCCGATTAAGCGCTCAAACACTAACAAACTGACAAGATCTATCGTTGTCTATAGCCGGGTACCCATTTCCATCTGGGTGAAGTGAGGAAAATTAGTGTAAAGTGCCTTTCCCAAGGACACAACATCGGGCCCCTGACAGGATTCGAACCCACGACCTTACGGTTGCGAGTCCGAGAGCCTAACCTCTAGGCCAGCGACGCCACATAATGTTAGCGTTAGTCCTATCTTCCTCTGTTCCATTGAGTCATGAGGGACGTGGACACCCCCTATCCCGTTCCCTACTGGCCAGACCTCTTTACATAGTGAAACAATTCTTAGAAATATAGAAAAAAAAGCCCAGGTTTCAATGTCCTCAGAGAAAATATCAATAACATTAGATGTACTGACACAGTTTTATTTACAGATTCAGTTTTAATTTTAGAATCTGTCTTTTGGCTGTGTAGGCTATGAGCTGAAAGTGTTGCCGGGACAGAACCCCAAGATCATCATCAAGGCTTCTGAACCAGCCGGGGCTTTCTACGCTGTTCAGTCCTTGATCAGTATCACTGACCGCCTCGGAAATGTGAGTTTTGCTGCTTAAGTACTAAAGAGCCAATCGTTAGTGCCGTAACAAATCCATTTAAGAACTTGTTTTTGTTTTGTTGCTCCTATCAAGAATCGTGAAAAGCAGGACAATTGTACGCCTTGACCTTAGCATTAAACTGCATTCTGGTGATGCTGAAAGATTCATCTTTGATAGAGCTTTGAGAGGGTGTAAAAGTGCAATGCCATAATGGGTGGGTCTCTTGTGTTTACTTTTACTGTGTCTGTTGTTTCCAGTCTTGTTACATTTTTTAAAGAAAAAGATTATTTTCCAATGGTAGATCTCATGTTGTATTTTAGAGACTCACCAGGGCAGTGCTACTTACTGAACTGTCTTTAGGTTATTCCTAAAGGGGGGACATTAACATGTTCTTCTGGACAGTAACATTTTAAATGGGATGATTAATCAGTGTCATGTTCACACTGTGCTGGAACAACATAGGGGGAACTGCTGCTTTTTCTTTCCTCATCCCTACTATCGTTATTTTTCCTCAACCGGTGCTCGCTACTACATAAGGTCATATGAGCCCCAAAGGGTGGATGTCAACAGAGAAGTCCAAACTGGGAATCAGGCTTACTTTGCTCCCCTCTCTAGCCTCAACAGCTCAAAGTCTGCTTCGACTAGCAAGGCACCCCTGGAATAGCAGTTCACATGAGAGTGACAAACATACAAAAGTAAAGAAAAAATGACCATAGTAAGGATGAGGAAGGAAAAAGCAGCAGTTCCCCCTATATTGTTCCGGCACAGTATGAGCATGACATTGATACATCAGCCCTTTTCTAATTCTACTGTGCATAAGAACATGATAATATCCCCCCTTTTGGGAGTGGCCTAAAGACACTTCAGTCAGTAGCACTGCCCTGTGGGGGGGGGGGATTGTGCTTCTGACTTCCCAATCCCATGAGAAAAACAAGGGTCGCGCTACGTAGCTGTGTTGCAACACATTTCATTCAAAGTCTGCTGGGTCTAATTGTAGGTGTGTATATTGTGTTGCAAGTGCTTTAAAACTTTTACTACAAGCTAAAATTAAAAACTTCTAGGTAGGTGGTTTGCGGGTGCCCTGGTGTGGTTTGCTCCTCCTTTCCTACCAAACGTCTATTGTCTTTATCTCTACTCCATCTTTTTTATGTTTGTTACTTTCTTGTAACACCTCTAATCTTCGGCTCTTATATGACCGTATCATGTTTCAAATGCTGTAAAACTCTTACTAAAACAAAATGTTTTAAAAGAAAAAAAGAGAATTTTTTGATGCAGCCACTCTTACTAAAACCTAGAACTAAAAACTTTAAAACTTGTAGGTGCCAGCCACCCTGATCCGAGACGGGCCGCGGTTCCGGTATCGAGGACTCATGCTGGACGTGGCAAGGAACTTCCACAGCAAGGAGACCGTGTTCCGGTGAGCTATTGTGTGCCACCCCCCACCCCCCCCCTTTTTCCCTCTTAAAAGAAGATAATAGTGTTAATTATTATTATTGTGCTTTTTGTGATGTTTGTAAATCCCTCCAGGTGGGTGGTTGGCGGGTGCTCTGGTGTGGTTTGCTCCTTCTTTCCTATCAAACATCTATCATCTTTATCTCCCCTCCTTCTTTTTTGTGTTTGTTACTGTCTTGTAACACCTCTAGTCTTCGGCTCTTATATGATCTTATTGTGTTGCAAGTGCTGTAAAACTCTTACTAAAACGATGGTTATAGTATTAATTATTATTGTTGTGCTTTTGTGGTGTTTGTAAATCCCTCCAGTACTGGTTTCTGCAAAAGGGTTAAGGTTAAAATTATGGTTAAAATGTTAATCGAGAAGATTGCTTTACTTTACTTTTACATTTCGCAACCTCAGTGCTTTCATGTCGTATGTCCATTTTTTTAACCAGTGAAAATGTCACTTCTTCTTAAGCTCACTGATCACTCTTCGTTATGAACTGTTTTCACTGTGAGTAAAAAAATGGAGATACGACAAGAAAGCACCCAGGTTGCGATTTCTGATCCAGCAGCCATCTGAGTTCTAGCCTTTCAGCCTATTGATATGGCAAAGAATTTAAAGGTTTTTATCAGCGGTGTTTTGTCGCTGTATAGAGTATTTCCGATGTCCGGGGAGGCAGGTAATAATAGATAGCATTTGTATAGCGCATATCCCCGCTCAACAGCAGGCTCTATGCGCTTTACACTATATTATTACCCCAGCAGACCATAGAACACTCCGAAACATTCTCAGC